TGAATGTAATAGTAATTTTGTTTTGGGACATGCAAGAGACAGTCAAATTTTCAAATCTGAAATCAAGACATAAAAAGAAGCAGTCACTGGACTGTTTAGCTGTCTGGCTTAAATGCAGGTTTGGCTTTTGTTCCTCATTTGTCCTGCTTTGTTGTTGAGGTGATGATTCAAACAACTCAGTATCACAAGCCCCTACAAGCTTGTGGTAACATTTCTGAAGAAACGTTCTTCAGTTTTGAATCTCTCCAGCGTTTTCCATTGTTGTTGCATTTATCCGGTAAATTGTTAGAAAGCATTTCACAGCTGAGCTTCATGGTGTTCTCTTTCAGTCAAGGTCACTGGCTCATGATTTGTAATAGAACCATAACAGATCTCCAACCTTGCCCACTAACCTGTTTTTTCATTAACTGTGTTAAAATTGTAAAATTTCTCTGATTTTTGTTTTGACTTTGTCTGTTGACACAACATGTATTTGCTTTGTGTGCTGTCTCACCTTCCCCATCCCCCTCACTGAACTCCATTTCAGTAGCAGGCTTGGTTTCTGCGTGCATTTGACATTGTTGGAATTGGGTGTCAGTTGACACTTGCATATCAATAATTATTTGAGTGTGAGGGGTTGTTGCAATCAGCCACAGCTCTGTGTTAACCTGGTATCCACCTGCATACCCTCAGCTTTGAATCACTTTATCCTTGCATTATTAGATTTGGGATCTGTCTCATTTCACTGCTAACTTAGGTCGAGCTGAGGATGAAGCTAAATTTTGAAGAATAGTCATTTTGATCTCCATGTTAACCCTGTTTGTCTTCCACAGATGTTTCCAGAACTGCTGAGTTTCTTCAATGATTTGTCCTTGCTTTAGATCTCCGGCATCTGCAGTATTTTGCTTTTATTTGACTGAAGCTAAGACCTTATTCGGCTCTGTTTGACTCGGAATTTGAACTTTGAACTTTTCTGAAGAATGCTCTCAGTTCCATGAGTCAACACAGTGTGGAGCAGAAGGAACACAGCAGGTCAGGCAGCATCAGAGGAATAGGAAAGTCGACATTTCAGGTCGGGCCCATCATCAGAACTGGGGAGGGGGTAGGGAGCTGAGAAATACCCATTCCTGAGACAGTCTCCACCCCCACTCCCAGCCCAGCTCTATACCCAACCCCAGCCCCAAGCCCTGCAGGGTATTCACCATCCCCCCAGACCTCCCCCTCACTGAGGACGAATGGTCAGTCCTCAGCAAAGGACTCACGTTCATTCCCTGCACCTACACATCGACGAATTTCATGCACATCTGGATGTTGAACGCTTTTTCCTCCGCCTCCATGCCTATTTCTTTGACTGGACCTCTAACCAACCCTCTACCGACACCTTCGCCTGCCTCCAACAAACCTACTCTCCTACTCTCCCTCAACTTCTTCATCTCTAACTGCCGTCGCGACATCAATCACCTCAATCTCTCCACCCCTCTCACTCACTCCAACCTCTTTCCCCCCACAGAATGCACAGCCCTCCGCTCGAACCCCAGCCTCACCATCAAACCCGTAGATAAGGGGGTTGCAGTGGTGGTATGGCACACTGACTTCTACATCGCCAAGGCCAGGCACCAACTCTCTGACACCTCCTCCTACCATCCCCTCAAATATGACCCCACCCCTGATTAGCAACCCACCATCTCTCATACCATTCATAACCTCATCACGTCAGGAGACCTCCCACCCACATCATCGTTCCCCAACCCCGCACCGCCTGTTTCTATCTCCTTCCCAAAATCCACAAACCTGACTCCTCTGGCCGACCCATTGTCTCTGCCTGCTCCTGCCCGACTAAACTCATCTCTACTTACTTTGACTCTGTTTTTCCCCCCCGGTCTAGGAATTCCCCACCTAAATTCGGGACACTACCCATGCCCTCCACCTCCTCCAAGACTTCCAATTCCTTGGCCCCCAAAACCTCATCTTCACCATGGACATCCAGTCCCTGTACATCTGTATTCCCCATGCAGATGGCCTAAAAGCTTATTCCTCTCCTGTAGGCCCAACCAGCCCCTCTCCACTGATACCCTCATCTGCCTAACAGAACTTGTCCTTATCCTGAACAACTTTTCCTTTAACTCCTCCCACTTCCTACAACCTAAAGGGGTGGCCATGGGCCTCTTCGTAGGATATGTGGAACAGTCCCTCTTCTGCTTTTACACCGGCACCATCCCACACTTCTTCCTCCGCTACACTGATGACTGTATCAGCACTGCCTCGTGCTCCCATGAGGAGCTTGAATAGTTTATTAACTTTACTAACATCTTTCACCCCAACCTCAAATTCACCTGGACCATCTCTGATACCTCCCTCCCCTTGCTGGATCTCTCTGTCTCCATCTCTGGTAACCGTCTCAACACTGACGTTTATTTCAAACCCACCAACTTCCACAGCTACCTGGACTACACCTCCTCTCATCCACCCTCCTGCAAGAATGCGATCCCTTACTCCCAATTCCTCTGCCTCTGCCACGTCTGCGCCCAAGATGGAGCATTCCACTCCCGGACATCCCAGATGTCCTCCTATTTCAAGGACCCCGCAGCTTAACCTCCCTAGTGTTCAAAAATGCCCTCAACTGCATCTCTTGCATTTCCCACACCTCTGCCCTCAAACCCCCTCCCCCCAACAAAAATAAAGACGGAGTCCCCCTGGTCCTTACATACCACCCCACCAACCTCCACATTCAACGTATCATCCTCTGCCACTTCCGCCACCTGCAATCCGACCTCACAACCAAAGAGGTATTTGCCTCCCCATCCCTATTTGCCTTTTGTAGGGATCACTCACTCCGTGACTCCCTTATCCGCTCCACTCTTCCCCACTAACCAGACCCCACCCAGCACCTTTTCCTGCAACCGCAGGAGGTGCTACACCTACCATCTCACCTCCATCCAAGACCCAACACAAACTTTACATACAATAGGGGTTCACTTGTACATTCTCGAACCTGGTCTACTGTATCCGTTGCCCTCGATGTGGCCTCCTCTACGTCGGTGAGACCAAGCGCAGACTCCAGGAACCAATTCGCGGAGCATCTGCGCTCTATATGCAATAATCAACAACACCTTCCTGTCACCAACCATTTTAGCTCCCCCTCCCACTCCCTTGATGACATGTCCATCCTGGGCTCCTCCAGTGAAACAATGACACCACATGCAAACTGGAGGAGCAACATCTCATATTCTGCCTCAGGAGTCTACAGCCTGATGGCCTGAACATAGAATTCACACACACACACACACACCGGCCTCATCCCACGCCCAACCCTCCCTCTCATCCCTGTGTCCTTGACCTGACATAACCTGTCCAACTTCTTCCCCACCTATCTGCCCCGTCCTTACCACTGACCAATCCCTACTACCCCCTACTTGCATCTACCTATCACCATCCCACCTTCCCTCCCCAGCCTCACCCCCCTCCCTCTATTTATTTCCCAACTCCCTTCCCCCTCCCCAGTTCTGATGTCAAAACTGGCAACTTTCCTGTTCCTCTGATGCTGCCTGACCTGCTGCATTCCTCCAGCTCTGCACTGTGTTGACTCTGACTCCAGCATCTGCAGTTCTTGTTATCTCTCACTTCCACGATCAGTTCCCTGATATCAAAGAGTGAAATCAATTTTAAAAATCCTTATCAGAATAACTTTCACAAATTGAGTGGAAGCTGATAGATTTCACTTGCCATTTGTGCTACATCAGAAGTAACTTCTCTCCCACTCCCTCCCATGTTCCCTAATTCAAAGCTTCGCAAGAACAAAGCTCAATGTTCAATTGTCAGGAAGTGAACTTGTACACAATAATTTTCTCCAGTTTCGATTTACTTTCCTTTTCTTGTTTTCCTGGCCTCTGTTTGATTTGTTTCTAATACCTACAATAATAAAACATAAGTGAGAAAGGAGACAAAAACCATTGAGTTAACCATTGACAGTTAACCATTGAGAAAGAAAAGAATTGACTGATTGCCAAAGCAGATTTTCGTTATGTACCATCAATGAGCAACGGTTAATAGAACCATAGAATAATTGCTTCTGTTGAATCTTACTGTCACGTGCCAACCTTCCATTTCCCCATCTGTTGGAAATGAGGGGCTAAAAATGGGTCCCATTTTGACTATATTTTGGGTGAGAAGTGGAGACAAGTCATATCAATTTGTAGGCTGTTTTGTGGCTTAACCAGCAAACTTGATTCTTACAATAACCATAAGATACAACCCTCACTACTCCACCTACCTTTTCTTTCCTGCAGCTAATATCCTTTTCAAAAATTCACCTAAGCCTCTTTTATGAATGCATGCATTGAATCTGCAGCCAGTGCATGAGATGACAATTTGTTCTGAGATCAGTGACGGTGTAAAGAAAATCCTGTCAGCATCCAAACCAATTCTCTATTTGAGAGCTTGTCCCCAATTCTCTTGCAGCTGTTTGATTCAAATAGTCTAGCCACATGCACATAATCTGGTCCTTTCATTATGTTAAAACACTCAATTAATTCTTCCAAAGAATAAAGACCAGTACAGTAAGCTGTTCATTGTAACTAATGACTTTTAAATTGGAAATTAGTCTAGTGGTCTTTCTTTGAATTTGTCCCACAGTCAAGTGTTCAAACTGGACCAGTATTCTTATATTGTTCCTTCGTTATTACCTTAGCAATACATCTAATGCTGTGTTAATTTTTATGAACCATTACAACATAAACATTAGTATTAAGGTTTGTCTCAACAGTGTTACAGGTTATTCTTCACAGTAATTTTTAGCTGTCTTGTTAATGAAGAGTTCCATAAAGTCCAAAGTCAAGTCCCTGCTTGTTTATTGATTGCTCTCTAATTTACTACTGTGTCTCATTTTAAAAGACATCCTTTTACAGTCCTCAACCAGTCGAGGATTTTCCTTCAGTTTTTATTTCACAAGGTGTAATGTGTTGGGGTAAAAAAATTTGGTTTAACAACTGAGAAAATGTCTTGTATCTATTGTTCTGTTTTAGATCGTGTCCCAGAGAATTGGATCAGTGGATTTATCATGTTGTAGCTTGGAGAATCTTCCAAGTAACCTTTTCTATAGCCAGGATCTGACTCACCTGAACCTCAAACAGAATTTCCTCAAACAGAATTTAGGGCCTGGAACAAATGGTGGTTTGAATGATCTTCAAAGGTACACACTTCTAATTGTTTTAAAAAAAGTACCTTAAATGGTTTTGTTAATATATTAAATCCTTGTCCTTTTCTTAATATTTACTTATTATGCCTAAGACGGGAAAGAAAGTCTAGGTGGAATGCATTTGATTTTAAAAAAATTACTCCATCTATCTCTCTAGAGCAGTTGTAAAGAATATGACTGTTAATTTACAAGCATTCTTTGTTCCCAGACAAATCTTTGAGTGTCATCCTCTCCTTAGTTTCAAATGTGTTATTCCAGTGGTATGAGTACCCACTGCAATGGGTGCTTAGTGCTTTAGAGGAGTTGACTTAGGCAGACCCACCCTCAAAATTGTCTGCAAGCTGAAAAAGCAGCAGTACCAATTGGCAGAACATTTAGGTGGCTTTGAATTGGATCACTCCCAGGTGAGTCCAAAGTGTGTACTTCCAATATTTACTTTCAGGTGTAATGTTTTGCCTGGTTTCCTTTAGTATTAGGACCTTCTAATGAAAGGCTAATCATAGTTTTCATATTCACAAATACCAGTTTTGAAAGTTATTTTGCCTTCATGTTCCATTCACTAATTTCTTCTGAGACAGAAGATTGCAGCTGTGCTTTGGAATGTAGTATTTAGCTTGTAATGCGAGAATTTCGACTGAAATAAATTCAACACTGAACTGAATTGAAAGCACATTTATTTCTACCCTGGTTATGACCAAAGCTGGACAATTGCATTTGGTCTTAGATTTTCACAAGCCACTTTTTACGTTCTTGCTTCAGCTTTTAATTTAATTAGAATTACTAATAAATATTCTGTTCAATCTTGTCAAAATTTGGTGGATAACTATAAGGTCTTTTTCTAGATAACTGTGTTGCTATCTTATAGCTGCTGGTCCTGTTGTGGCCTTAAAACGTCCCACTTGACTATACAAAATAAAAAGCAGCAAGAGTTAGTTCTCCACATGACCTGGTCAATAGTTATTCCTAAATCAACACCTAATTTGGGTTCTGGTCAATGATTTAATTGCTGTTTGTGGGAATTTGCTTTGCACAAATTGGCTACCATATTTATATGCATTTCAACAGCAACCACAGTTCAGAAATGCTTAATTGGCTGTGAAGACCATGGGGCATTGTGAGACTATGAAACACTCTGTGTTAATTCAAGCTCTTCCATCAATTATATTCTCCTGAAAGCACATTCTTGAGAATACCATTCCACAGTGACTAGTGGGGTACTGCAGGGATTGTTACTAGGATCCTAGCTATTCACCAGATATGTTAATGATTTAGATGAGTCAACTATATGTAATATCTTAAAATTTGCAGATAACACAAAGCTAGGTGGATGGGTGCGCTATGAGGAGGTTGCAGAGATGTTGCAGCGTGTTTTGGACAGGCTGAATGATTGGCCAAATGGATGCCAGATGCAGTATAATGTGAATAAATGTAAAGCTACCCGCTTTCTTAGCAAAAAGTAAGATTCGTTATCATTTGACTGTAAATTTAGAGAGGGGATTGTTCACTGAGACCTGGAGATCTCCTTTCACCAGTCGCGGAAAGTAAAGGAAGTAAAGGCAAACTCAACCTGCTGAGATTTTCCAGCAATTTGTTTTTGTTTAAGGCAAATTGTATGTCAGTCTTCATACACATTCATACAGGACATTGGTGAGGCCCACCTGGAATGTACGCAGTTTTGGTCTCCTTATCGAGTAATGGAGTCTCTGAGGAAGGATGTTCTTGCTATGGAAAGAGTGGAGTGAAGGTTTACCATGTTGATTCATGGGATGGCAGGACTGATGTATGAGGAGAGATGGAGTTTAGAAGAGTTAAGGGGGTGAGGGCAGGATCTCATAGAAATGTATAAATTTCTAACAGGACTGGATAGGTTAGGTGTAGGAAGGCTATTCCCAATGATGGGTAAAACATCTCTCCAATCACGTTGCTTACCCTCTTTTGAAAAGAACCCCATTACATTATTTATTGTTTTGAAAATGTTTATATGTAACCCTAATAACCTTGTACACAGAGTTGAAAATTCTGGTCAATTGATGATTTGTCCCATGAGTAGCTGCAATGACTCACTTAAATGCATATAGTGCCACGAACATAATAAATATATTCCTCGGATTTTATTAGAAGCACTATAAGACACAATTTGACAAAGAGCAACAAAGATATCTTGTATAAGTGACCAAAAGATGGGTCAAAAATAAAAGTGTTAAGAATTGCATTACTAAATGCTACTTACTGATCTAATAATAAGCCATGCTATATTGCAGAAAATATTTCTTTATTGAAAAGCTGCTACGTGAAGACTTTCTGTAGAGTTTGTGGGATGGTGCAGTCTCTTAAGCCATTTTAATAACCTTTTATACAAGGATCACGTAATATTTTCCAGATGAGATAGAATCCTGTTCTTGATTTGCACATTGTAGATATTTTCAAATATATGTATGATAGAGCACCAGGCGTTGTTTTTGTAATGTTGCTGCTCTGCTATTTGTCATGGGTCCGTTGATTCAATGCAATTTGCTTAGAAATTGTTTTTCTTTTCAGTTACTGGTTTCAGACTTGCAGGTTGTCTATATGCAATTCCAGCTGTGTTATAATCAGCCATCCCATTTTGGAGGTTAGGGGTGAGCATCAATCTTTCCTGGATTGATATGGGTGGATAGTTTTATTGTTTTTCATATTGCTAGAGAATTTGCCTTCCATTTTTAAATTATCTAAAGTAGACTCTCTTAGATCATTTTTTACCATCAGATATAATGATGTGGCTTCCTTAAGTGTCTCAAAAGATTGCTTTTGATACTGTATTAACTTATACTTACTGCTTAGAGCATGTTTCATCAAATCCTATGAAGACTGACACAGAATGAAAACAAAACTCAACATATATTTTGATATTCAGATCTTTTTTTACTTTGCAAGACAAATTTTATCACTTTCAACTGGTGCAAAGTGAAAGAGGATGTGTTTGTATATTTAAACAGGAAAGATAATTTTAAAGGTTCATACCCATAAAGCACTTGACTCAAGCCTGATCTTTGTTTTAGTGGAAGGTTGCTTTTTTGTCATTAACTTGTTCATTTTAGCCAAACCATGTTTTCCTTCCAGTGTGCAAATGGTCCCTGTGTGACTGTCAAAAATTTGCAAAATATCTGCTAGAGTGGTCTGTTTTGCTGAGTAACTTGATTGACCCAAGAATATCATTCTTATTTTAAATACACCTTATAGTAAAACTCAGTGAGTAATAAATAACCTACTTTCTATTGCTGACACTTAAGTGAACGGGCAATGCATCCTAACTTCCATCTCCACGAGAGGTTAGAAATAACTACCAGTCCTTTCGGCTGAGGAATGGTGAGTACTATATAGAGATCTAAAGATATGAGAGAAACAAACTTTGAAAAATACTCTCAAAAAAAAGGTTCTGATAGTATGAGTTCCATTTCTCTATTATTTGATCTTTGACCTGCAATGTCAAGCTGCTGTTTCAATTTTATGTTTTTAAAATTTTTCCTGATACATTTATGCTGCAGGTTCATGAAGCTGAAAAGTTTAAACCTGTCTAATAATCACATGGGAGAATTTCCACTTGCCATTTGTGATATACCAACCCTTTCTGAAGTCAATCTTTCCTGCAATGCCCTACGATTTATCCCTTCAGCAGTTAGCAACATGGATAAGTAAGTACTGGAGTCTGATGCAAATTTTGATACAATACCTTTTTATTTACCATACTGTATTAATTGTTCCACACCTTCAGTAATATTTTACTTTTAAAGGGGGGAAAACAGAAAGCTAGAGCTGTTCTGAAGAAGGGTCATTGTACCCGAAATGTTAACTCTGCTTTCTCTTCACAGATGCTCCCAGACCTGCTGAGTTTTTCCAGGAATTTCTGATGTTGTTTCTGATCTCCAACATCTACAGTTCTTGGTTTTTTTTATTTGAATGGATCCTTGAAGTAACTTTGAGGATATAAATAAAAACCGTAAGAACTGCGGATGCTGTAAATCAGGAACAAAAACAGAAGTTGCTGGAAAAGCTCAGCAGGTCTAGTAGCGTCTGTAAAGAAAAAAATCAAGAGTTAACATTTTGGGCTCAGTGACCCTTCCTCAGAACTGTTTTGAGGAAGGGTCACCAGACCCGAAACGTTAACTTTGATTTTTTTCTTCTCAGATGCTGCCAAACCTGAGGTTGTAGACTTGCTCGCCGAGCAGGTGTGTTCGATGGCAGACGTTTCATCACCCTGCTAGATAACATTGTCAGTGCGCCTCCGGTGCAGCATTAGTGTTCTGTGCCACTTGTTATTTATATGCCTTGGTTTGCTGGGGTGGTTGCTATTACTTCTGGCTTTGTTCTTCAGTGTTTTGTATATATGGTCCAGTTCAATGTGTTTGTTGACGGGAGTTCTGCTTGGAATGCCAGGAATTCCCTGGCATGTCTCTGGCTTGTTCTATTATGGATGTGTTGTCCCAGTCAAATTTGTGTCCTTCTTTGTCCATGTGTATTGAGACCAGTGAGAACTTGCTTGTGTCTTTTGGTGGCTAGTTGGTGTTCGTGTATCCTTATTGCCAGTTTTCTTCCAGTTTGGCCTATGTAATATTTCTCTCAGTTCTTGCATGGTATTTTGTATATTACATTAGCTTTATTGGTTGTGGGTATGAGGTACTCTACGTTCGTCAGTAGCTGTCGTAGGGTGATTGTTGGTTTGCGGTCTATCCTGACACCTAGGGGTCTGAGTAATCTTGTGATCATCCCTGATATATGGTAGGGTGACAAGTGTGTCTGACATGTTGTGTCTTCTTGTTGTGGTCTGTCGCAGAAGTAATGGTGGATTGTGCTTTTTGGGTATCCATTCCTTTTAAAAACTCTATATAAGTGCTCCTGTTCTGCTTTGTGCAATTTCGGGTTGCTGCAGTGTGTTGTGGCTCATTTGAATAATGTCCTGATGCAGCTCTGTTAATGGGTGTTGGGATGGTTGCTAGTGTAATTAAGTATCTGGTCCGTATGTGTTGTCTTTCTGTGTACGCAAGTCTGGAGTTCCCCATTGTTCTTGCGTCCCACCATTATGTCCAGGAAGGGTAGTTGGTCGTTGTTCTCTTCTTGTTTTGTGAATTTTATTCTGGTAAGGATACTTTTTATGTGTCAGTGGTTTTCTTCTAGTCCTTTGCATTTGATAATCACGAAGACACTATCTGTGTAGCGGACCTGGAATTTGGGTTGGATAGTGGGGAGCGTTGTCCATTCTAATCTTTGCATTACCACTTCTTCTATCAGCCCTGATATTGGGGAGCCCATTGGCGTTCGGTTGATTTGTTTAAATATATCATCTTTGAAGGTGAAGTCGGTTGTGAAGCACAGATCCAGTAGTTTCAGGGTGCTGTCCTTGTTGGTGTTGGTGGGATGTCTGCCTTCCTGATTTGCCCAGCAGTGTGGCAGTTGTCTCTTTGGCTAGGTCGATGTTTATGGATGTAAATAGTGGTGTTAGATCGAAGGATACCATTATCTGATCCTCTTCTATTCTGGTGTCCTTGATGATGTTGAGGGATTCTTGGGAGGAGTCAAAGGAATGGGTAGTGTTGCCAATTAAGTATTTCAGTTTCCGTTGTAGTTCTTTGGCTAGTCTATATGTTGGTGTGCCTATTAGTGACATAGTGGGTCAGAGGGATACCCCTGGCTTGTGTACCCATAAATGGAGCTACATTAGGACATTAATCAAATGAGGCACAACACACTGCAGCAACCCGGAACTGCGCAAAACAGAACAGGAGCACTTGTATAATAGAAATAACGCAGTGTGGAGCTTGAGGAGCACAGTGGGCCAGGCAGCATCAGAGGAGCAGGAAAGCTGATGTTTCGAGTCGGGACCCTTCTTCAGAAATGGGGGAGGGGGAGCACTTATGGAGTTTCTAAAAGGAACGGATACCCAAAAAGCACAATCCACCGTTACCTCCACGACAGACCACAACAAGAAGACACAACATGGCCAGACACACTAGTCCACCCTACCGTATATCAGGGACATACCAGTGATGACCACAAGACTATTCAGACCCCTAGGTATCAGGGTAGCCCACAAACCAACAACCACATGGCGACAGCTACTGACGAATGTAAAGGACCCCATACCCACAACCAATAAAGCTAATGTAATATACAAAATACCATGCAAAAGCTGTGCAAAACATTACGTAGGTCAAACTAGAAGAAAACTGGCAATAAGGATACACGAACACCAACTAGCCACCAAGAGACACGACCAAATTCTCACTGGTCTCAATACACACAGACAAAGAAGGACACAAATTCAACTGGGACAATACATCCAGAACAGAACAAGCCAAACAGAGACATGCCAGGGAATTCCTGGAGGCCTGGCATTCCAAGCGGAACTCCGTCAACAAACACATTGAACTGGACCAGATATACAAACCACTGAAGAGCAAAACTGGAAATAATAGCAACCACCCCAGCAAGCCAAGGCATATAGATAACAAGTGGGACAGAACACCAACGCTTCCCCGGAAGCACACTGACAATGTTACCTAGCAGGGTGACAAAACGTCTGTAATCAAACACACCGGCTCAGCGAGCAAGTCTACAGCCTCATCCACAACCCGAGCTACAAATCTTCTCAAAAACTTTAAGTTGCCAGAACTGCTGAGCTTTCCAGCAACTTCAGTTTTTGTTGTTGTTGTTGAGAATATAAAGACTGATGCACCTCTTTTTGTCTCTCTGTCTTTCTGCAAATCAGCTTACAGATATTTTTACTGGATGGCAACTGTCTTGGTTCTCTCCCTCTGGAGCTAGGGAATCTGCTGCAACTGAGCTACCTGAGCCTTTCCTTCAATGAATTCAGAAGCATTCCTGTGGTTCTGGAGAGTCTGAAAGCTGTGGAAAAACTTTGTATGTCAGGCAACTACGTCGAAACATTGTGCTTGCAAAGTTTGAGCAGAATGCCTCATATCAAACAAGTGGATTTAAGGTAGTTTATTTGCAAATTCAGTTGGATTAATACAATTACAGCATTCATCACACCACAACTCTCTTTCCATAGCCCATGTAAGACAAAGGCAACTTTAACACTCGTATTTCCCTACTTCAAATCATTAGAATGATCTGACATTATTTTGGACTGTTCAGAACTGTAGCCTAGCAATAGCCAGGTCTTCCTGAGCTGCCAGTTCTTGGATTCAGTGGGCTGCTTGTTCAGTTGGACAGTGGCTTATTAATTGGCCATCACTGTCAATATATGCCCTGGGTCTACCACCTGCCTAGGTTGCCTCTTGTTTCATCCTTAATGCAAAATCCAGCCTGTTTCTATGCTTCAGGGCAATCTTATTTTCTTGTGATTCTAAATTTAGAATGCATTGTTATTTGCACAAATGTGTTCATTGAATAGGCTCATTTTATGATTTTCTTTTTATTTATTCATTAAATCTTTTCCATGTTCGACTTGTTTCCCCTCCAATGGAATAATATTTGTTTATTTAGCTTTCTGTTAAGCAACATCGATGGAGAAAATTAATCTCCACTTGGAGAGGCAAGGTTTGATCAGGGATAGTCAGCATGTCTTTGTCAGAGGGAGATCATGCTTGACAAAATTGATTCAATTAATCAAGGAGGTGACCAGATGTCTAGATGTGAGTAGGGGAGTTGATGTCGTTTATATGGATTTCAGCAAAGCCTTTGGCAAGGTACCACATGGGAAACTGAATAAAGTAGTTAAAAGTATATGGGATCCAGGGTACCTTGGCAAGTTGGATCCAAAATTACTTTAATGGTAGGAGACAGAATGTAGGATGCAGGTTGTGTGACTGGAGGCTAGAATCTAGTGATGTACCATGGATCCGTGCTGGGTCCTTTGTTGTTGTGTGATATGTATAAATGATGTAGGAAATGTGGGATGCAGGGGGGTGGGCATGCTGTTGATGGGATGATAAGAATGATAAGAACATTTGTAGTTGACAGTGAGGAAGAAGGTCTTAGGTTACAGGTGGATATGGACATATTGGTAGATCAGTGTCAGATGAAATTTAAACCTGATAAGCGTGAGGTGTTACACTTTGGAGGAAGTAATGAGACAAGAGAGTACTCGATGAATGGCAAGATGCTTCGAAGCTGAGAGGAACAGCAGATCTTGGGGTGCTATCCACAAATCTCTGAATGTGGCAGGACAGGTTGATAGGATAGTTAAGAAGGTATACTGGACTATCAGTCATGGCAGAGATTACAAGAGCAGGGAGATTATGTTGGAGCAATACAAAACTTTGGTTAGGCCACAGCTGGAGTACTGTGTGCACTTCTGTTGCTGCATAATAGGAAGGATTTGTTTGCACTGAATGGGGTGCAGAGGAGATTCACCAGGATGTTTTCTGGGATGGAGCATTTTATCTATGAAGAGCGGCTGGGTAAGATCAGGTCAATTTCTTTAGAAGAAGGAAGGCTGAGAGAGAAGCTTTTAAATGTGCGTAAGATTATGAGAGTGATAGAATCTGCACCCGTGCCACCCCAGCCCTTTTTTAGTTGAAGAGTCAATAACAAGAAACCATAATTTCAAATTGAAAGGAAGGACATTTTGTGGGATTTTGAGGAAAAATGTTTTCACCTAGAGGATGGTGGGATTCTGAAATCCACTGCCTGGAAGGGTAGTTGAGGCAGGAAACCTCACCATGTTTAAAAAGTACTTGGATGAGCACTTGAAATGTCCTAATGTTCAAGGCTATGGGCCAAGTACTGAAAAGTGTAAATTTAGAGTAGTTTTTGTTGGTGCAGACTCGACAAGCCGAAGGACCTGTTCTGTACTGTATGATGCTATGTTCAAAATATAATACTAAGCATAATAAGTCAAAACTGTCATTGGAAATGTTAATTTTTTTTCAAATTTATCTAATTGAATTTAGACTCAATCGCATCACCAAGTTGGACGTAGCAAATGTGGATTTCTTGCAACACATTACTCATCTAGACCTGCGCGATAATAAACTGACTGTTCTTGATGCCACTGTATTTGAGAACATTGAGGTTATACACTGTGAACGAAACTACCTAACCAGTCTTCAAGTCAGTGGATATTTCCTGAAGAATCTTTATGCTGCAACAAATGGTATGTTGACACTTCATGGCACTGAACCTAAAAACACAACATTCAGTTGAGCTGCATAAATATTATTTGTGAGCTTAAAAATAAGATATGCATGCAACTATTTTTCAACTTTAGAAGGATGTTGATGAATTTTATCCACTTCACATATATTCTTCCTTATCTTGGCTCCAATCTCCTTCCATCTAGCCATACACTTTCATAATCAATGGCAATTCTATCCCTGAAACTCCCACCATCCCATTGGTCATGTTGATGCAGTGATTTATGTTGGCTTTCTACATGAATTAAGGACCCTCATGAATACGTTTGTTTTGAGTCATTACACTTCAAATCTTGAGGTCCTACTTAAATCTTGGAACCCAGTTCTTGGGCTGTTGATTCATTAAGAGGGTTACCCTTTTGATTCAATGAATACCCATATGATGTATGGAATAGAAAGATACAGGGCTCAATTCCCTCTCTGTGACAAGGTCGGGGATCTCTGTCAGGGTAAATGTTTTCATTGACTTCTGTGTCTGAGGCTTGGGATGGGGAAAAGAACGCAGCTTACAGCTGATTCCTATTTATAATTTCTGTCCAAAATGTCTGTGAGAAGGGTAAAGTGAACCAATAAGTAAATTATAGTAAAATAGATAACAGAAAATTATTAGTGCAGAGAACAATAAGATAAGTGGTTCTGAAACCTTTTTGTCTGTGGATCCATTTAAGTGGATCGAAAACCCCTACAATCACTGACCAGTTGTGCTGCATTCACTTGTGCTTGCCATCACAAATTGACTTATCAGAGTTAATGAGAGGAATGACACTGTCATAATGAGACATCATTGAGGTATCATCCAGGAAAGCTTCACACTTTTGGCAGGCTTCACATTCAAGTGATTTCTGTTCTTTGCTTTCACCCCTAATCTTGCAGTTGTATATTGTAATGGTAGCACAAATTTTGTTAATAAAATGGCATTGTTATTGCTTGTACTTATGCCACAGATGCAAGAGTTACTTTGGTTGTGTACATCACACATATGCTAGAAGTGAGGATTCTGGCATATTCCCTTGGCTTACGGTGTCATCAATGACTTGCATATTGGATCAACCCATAAATCACCTGGATGGGATGGTCCACAGACTTGACTCTGAGAATCACTTCTCTTTGAGATTGGTAAAAGAGAATTACTGCTTGTCAAAGAACCATGAGCAAGATGGTGTGAACATTTTAATTTGCACAAAAATATCATTTTGCAATAAATTTCAGGCTGCTTGATCCATGCTGGGATTTAGAAACCTTGCAATAAGTTTAATAAATTGCTTATTGTGCCTGATTTACCATCTTCCCAGTTTTCTGCTTTTTTTTTGTTCTAAGAACCAGAACACTGGGCATTGGTCTCCAAATCCAATTTCCCCAATCCATTCTTCTTTTAAGGCTCAGCTCAGCAAGGAACAAACTTTTAATTTTATCCCATTGGTCATAAAGAACTATCTTGCTGTGATGTGCAACAAGGTGAAACTATACAAACAGGAAGTGGATTGGTGATGTGAAGAGGTGTCATAATAAGTGGATAAGCGTTAGTATAGTTACATAGTATAATCAAACAATATAAAGTTTAGCATTCATTGTCTAGTGTTTTGCATCAACTTTGTAGAAAAATGCCATGCTTAAATCTACATTCTCACCAACCTCACCCTAATCTCCAATAGATTTGTGTATTAAATCTCAGCTGATCCATTATTCCTTCTGAAGAAAATACAAGATAACTTGTTATTCTGGTGAAGATAATGACAGTTCAAAATAATTATTCAAAAGTTTCTTAAGGAAACTTTGTAACACTGTCCAATATATAAGATGGAAGGGGAAAACAAAACTTCAATAAATATTGAGTAAGGGTTGAGCTGAAAATAAATCTCCCTTTGTGGAAAAACCAATGGGGTGCATTGATTCATCAACAGGGTGACAGTAACTGGACTTCAAGACAAGTCCAGTTTGGTATGTGCGGGAGCCTGAGGAGAGGATGGAGAGGGGATGTAGTTCAGACAGATCAAAAGAGAAGAATATTAAATATAAAAATTAAAACTCATACAATGATCTTCCTGTCAAGCAAATTAAGAAACTAATTGAACTTTTCTTCATTTCAGAGCTTATATACATTGATGCCTATCCAGTACCTAACCATCTCACTGTTATGGATCTGTCAAGGTAGGTAACTTGAAGTGGGTTATCCTCCAAGAAATATTTCTCTTCAGTCAAGCATATCACAAAGGATATTTTGTCTTTTTTTTTTGGATATTAAAATGGAAAGAGAAGAACTTGTATTTCATGCAGCTCTTGTTCTACTTTATACAGATCCACTCTAGCTTCACAGTAAATCTTGTATCAAAATAGTACTGTAACATTACAATTTGATATTACTTCTTTTGCAGTTCCATCAAAAGTTCAAAAAGTGATGATCCTGGCACAGATTCATGCATTAACTCCACTTTAATGGCTAGAGTTGACATAATACATGTGAACTCTAGTACAGTCAATTCTGATGATTTCCCTGGGTGAATAGCTTTACATTGGTAAACAGAATCAATATGCAACTCGAAGTGGGCCATACAGATAGCAGTGCTTGGATTTCTCCCAAAGGCAAAGCACACTTGTGCAAGACCAATTTTAGACTGATAATTTTGTTGAGTGGAACTTCCATGTTTGGAGGAACCTGTACCACAACTTCATATTAGCACAACATTTACAAGTCAGACGGTATTGAATGTATAAATGTTAGTTTTTAATACTTTTTCATGTACCATTTTTGTATTGTTTTGCTTGTGCAGAAACAGACTGGATAGTTTACCTGAATGGGTGTGTGAAGGTAAAAAGCTGGAGACCTTGGACATCAGCCATAATCAAATTTGTGAACTGCCTGCAAAGTAAGTAAAAAACGAAAGAAATGCAGATGCTTAAATCAGGAAACAGAAATTGCTGGAAAAGCTCAGCAGGTCTGGCAGCTTCTGTGAAGGAGAAAACAGAGTTAACATTTTGGGTCCGGTTCTGAGGAAGGGTCACCGGACCTGAAACATTTAACTGTTTTTTCCTTCACAGACGCTGCCAGACCTGCTGAGCTTTTCCAGCAATTTCTGTTTTGTTGCCTGCAAAGTAAGCATTGGTTCTTACCAAGCCAGCACAAAGGGAAAATTCAACAAGAGCAGCTTGTAACCTATTACATATTGTATTGCTAAGAGCTTGTAACTAGCTAGTCAATAAATATTATTTTTAGTTTGAAATTTCTGTAAACTGGTAACTTATATCAGAAAAAACTCAAGTAACTTACTAATTCTTCAGAAGCCAATTTAACTATATATTTGATCAATTATGTAAATCAGTCAAATAGTGAAACAAAATATGTTGTGCATGCTCATTTGACAACTGAAATGTGCTACTATCTGTATGAAGTGTGGCTATTGACTAACAATATTAAAAAAAATTGGATGGCATTTTATGTTTTCGTCAAATTCTTCATGTTATGATGAATTAGCTACATTTTAGAAGTAATCCATTTGACACAGCAAAACACTTTGAATTTCCAAAGAATATAAAAGGCATTTTTAATTAAAGTTCATTATCATTGGAGATGAAAGTGTGGATTAGGAGGTCAGGACGAATGGAAGGAGACATTGGAGGAGAAAAGCTATATTCTGAAGGTGGAATAAATCATAAAATTCTGGACATAGCAGCATTTGAGGAGAGAAACAGAATTAATGTTTCAAGTCAAAGACCTTTGGTCTAGAACCATGGCTTATAGTGTAAGAATAAGGAGTAAATCTTTTAGGACTGAGATGAGAAATTTCTTCACCCAAAGAGAGGTGAGATTTTGGAATTCACAACAACAGAAAATGGTTGAGTCCAAAATGTTATGTTTCCAAGGAGGTGGTAGATATAGCTGTCATGAGAAAAGGGACCGAGGGAGAACCAAAAATAGAAATTACTGGAGAAACTTAGCTCATCTGGCAGAATCTCTGAAGAGAAAGCAGTGTTTTGAATCCAGTGACCCTTCTTCATAACTGATAGGTTGTAAAAGGTAGTATTTATGCTGAAGACATGGTATTGCAGTGGTGGGGGTAGTGAGCACATGGGCAGAGATGGAGCCCAGAGAGAGAACAACTGTTAGGGAGACAATGCTCAGGAGAAAGAAGCCAATAATGCGAACCAAAAGTAGGTGTAACTGGGTTGGCTGTGAAAATGGAAAATAGGTGGTTTTGGCTCCCACTTCTTGCTAGGAGACAGATACAAAACAAGTTAATCAAGTTAAATCCACGGGAATATGGAGTGTTGGCTGAAACAAAAAATGTTGCTGATGTTTCAGGGATAGTCAATCGGAAGGAATTATGCAGACATCCATTTGCAGCGAGTATAGTAATAGCCTTTGCATGCAGAGGAGTAAAGTAGGATCTCCATTCCATGCACATTTAAACTGAAAGAGCTGAACACCAAGGATTGTGCCTTGGAGTATGGTGGAAGTGTCTGTGGGCACATCAAAGTCACTGGATAGGATGTTACATCTTTGTTGTGACATGTATGAGTGGAACTGAGAGAGTAGAGCTAAGGAGATTGTGACAGTCCTAAGGTTGAAGATATCCATCAGTATTCATTAACACAGCCCAGTAATAGATGAAATTTTCAATTTGTTTCTCATTATCCAATCGCAATGCAATAGGAATCCAATGAGAAGTGTTTTCCCCTGAAACAATCAATGATCCCAGGGACCAAACAGAATATTGCAAGGTGCCATCGACAATGGGCATGCCTTTTCTGGCCTCTGTCCAGACCCCTGTCAATAATGAGAACAATCCAACCGGTTGCATGATCAGCTGAAATTGGTGATAGTGTTGGAAAATGATGCCAACTAGTCAAAGATCCTCACAAGATGACAATTATGTTTGCTTTGAGAAGTCTCAAAGATTTGAAGGCTCTTAATACTAACCAATAAGGCATTGTTAAGACAGGGTATAGATACAGAAAATCCAGCAAACTGTTTATTTGTGCATTGCTGTACAAAATGTTATTATTTTACAATGACCTCTACCATTTCAGCCTCAATTGACAAAATTGCACTAATTCAGTTATTGTTTTATTGGAGTTTTAATAGATCAAGGAGAAACAACCAAGGATCCATGTTCATATTCATTCCCTTTTGCAGACGTTGGGTTTTCTGTACCTGCAGTGTTGTTGCGTTTCTTTGACTGCTTTTGACAGAGCTAAGAATTTTACTGATAAGAAATATTGAACTTAATATTATGCATTTTCTTGTTAGGTTGTTCTGCAATAATAATTTACGCAAACTGCTGGCAGGTCACAATCAGCTGCAGAGACTTCCTGAACGATTTGAACGCACACAAGCAGAGGTTCTTGACATCCAGCACAACCACCTAATTGAGTTGCCCTCGAATCTTTTCCTAAAAGCTGACTGGTAATAAATCCTGGACTATCACAAATTATTTTTGTACCATATATATCTGATGATTATTTACTGACTAGTCTGTTTGGCAGCAATTAAACAGTAATCAGAAACGTATCAAAGTTAATCCTAAAATATGTTGAGTGATGATCATGCCAGGGTAACCATGCTCTTTGAATTAGAAAGTCAGGGGCTCAAGTCCCACTGAAGACTTGAGCACATGTAACCTTCGGTTTGGAGCTGACAAGTTACTGTACAGGGGGTCCTGCTATAATGCGTGTTCTGGCAACATGAATTGGCTATAACATGACTGACGAATACGGGAACACTATTTCTAAGATGCAAACTTGTGTTGGCTATAACGCGATTCCATCGGTGCACGTCGACATCACATGATCATTTTGCAGGCTTTGTTCTGAACATGCACAATATTAACGCTGAAAGAGTCTTCGTGCCAGCATCACACGATCATTGTGCTTTCTGTGAGAGGCACAGTACTCTTTTTTTTTTAATTTGCAAATTCTGCCATGTTAACACTGAAAGAGAAGCTGGATGTCATAAAGCGTTTTGAGCGTAATGAGAGAATATGTGATATAGTTCACATAGCAGGAATAAAGGAGTCTACCTTACACATCATTAGAGTCAATGCAGAGAAGATTAAAGCAAGCTATATTGCTGGAACAAGTCTGACTGCTAGCAAATCTGTGAGGTCACGGATAAAGGAACTTGAGGAGATGGAGCGGCTTCTAAGTGTGTGGATAGACGATCAAATGAAAAAGCGATCTGTGACCCATTGATCTTTTACATATAAATTCTGTGTCTGATACTACCTCTTTCACTAACACCTGAATGAGGACCATAACCTGGTGTTGTGTGATTTCTGACCTTGTCCACCCTGGTCCAACACCGGCATCTCCACATCATGAAGTTCAGGATGCAGCACCACGAGAGCTTTCCACTTCTATTTTGTCTTCTATCCTGAGGGAAATTGAGAATCAGTTGCAGCTCTTAGAGGACAACAAATACAATGCAGGACACAGCAGGGTGGCAGTTTGTGGAATAAGATCTTGTTTGGCACCCTATGAACAACTTCTTCATGAAAGAAGAAAAAGGGCAAAGCAGCAAAAACTGAATGTCTTTTTCATAGAGAAATAGTCCAAGAAATAGTCAGAAGACAATGAATTACAGCCATCCACTTCTGGATTAACTGTTTTTTTGACCTAACCCTGCAACATCAACTGCACTGCACCTGAAGCTGATGATGATGACAACCATCACCCCCTGCATTAACAACAGAGTAACCTCCTCCTCCATTGTGCAGGGCCCAATGGTCTGTAAACTCTGCATAAGTTACAACAATGATTATACTTCATAAGCACTCTGCTGGATATTGAATGCAAGAACCTACACAGACACATAGACGAAGCAAGTGGAATAGCTGAAGGCGATCAGATCCAACAAGGGGAAGTGTGAAGCCATCCACTTGCCAAATGATAATATTTTCTTCATGGTGCAAGACGATGAATGTGAAGGAGCAAAGGGATTTCATTTTCTGTGTGCAGAAATTACTAATAGCATAATTACGAAAAGCATTACAAAAATGGTAATAAAATGTTGCCCTTCAACTCAAGGGGACTGGAATTGGATGCTTCAGCTGTTTGTTGTCACGGTGTGTTAATCAAACTATGTGTCTGGAGTACTGCATTCAATTTTTGCCACTTCATCTCAAATGATAGGTTGACCTTGGAAGATGTAGAGCGCAGATTTACCAGGATATGCTAAGACTTAAGAGACTAAATTACGAGGACAGGTTGTAAAACCTCGACCCTTTATAAAAGGCATGGAAGTCAAAATACATTGCTGAACTATGCTACTATTATGCACTTGTACTTCTTTAGCTATCTCTTAGTGGTTCAGAGAATGAACTGCTGTTACCATTGCCATCCTGCACGATTTGTAGCTGTATTCAGCACCAAAAGAGAATATTTGCAGTTAATTCTTTAACAAATGTTGTTGAGTGTCAATTTTTCATGAAGTATCTATTCATTCATGGGATGTGGGTGTTGCTGCCTAGCCACCATTTGTTGCTGATCCATAATTGTCCTTGAGAAGGTGATGTGAGCTGCTTTCATGAGCCACTTGCAGTCCACATGATGTGGGTACACCAAAAGGAGGAGTTCCTGAATTTTGATCAATGACAGTAGTGGAATGGGAATATAATTCCAAATCGGGATGGTGAGTGACATGGAAGGAAACTCGCAGAAATAGATGCGCCTGTGTATTTGCTGCCCTTGTCTTTCTAGCTTAGGGATTCATATTGATCGGTCAGGACCCCAAGTGGCGTTGCATTCTGAAATGTTGGAATCTTGAGCTCTGAGGCCATGATGGAACTCTAAGTTTTACTCCTCTGTAACAGGCACTGGCCCTCACAGCCACCTCCCCTGGAGTTATAGGCCTCCATTTCAAACCTGTGGTCTACACCCAAGCCTCTCCCCCACCTTTACGGGTTGTTTAACCCCAGCCCCACTTGCTACGCCAGGTTCTGCTCTTACAAATCTCAATGAGGGGTTTACAACAATTTTCAGAAGTTAAAATGGGATCATGCTGGGAACATGTTAAGGAAGCACTTGTTCTAGGTGGTAGAAGTTTGAAAGGTGTTGTTAAAGAGGCCTTGATGAGTCGCTGCAGTGCATCTTGTGGATGGTTCAGACTCCTGCCACTCTGCAGCAGTGGTGAAGAGTGTGAATGTTAAAAGGATATCAGTCAAACAGGCTGCTTTTTTCTGGAATGGTGTTAAGCTTCTTCATTGTTGTTGGGGCTGCACTCATCCAGGCAAGTGGAGAGTATTTCATCATACTCCTGACCAATCCCCCAAACCTGAAGATTCTCATACGACTAAATACATGACAAAAGTCCAATATTGTTCACTATTGTTTCAACTGTATAGAAATTTGTATTTAAGAACTACTTAAAAAACCATGATAATAATGATGTTCTTTATCTTTGATTTGTAAATAGGACGTCATTGTTGCTGTTGAGCTAATGTTGCAGTTAGGATAATCAGGTTACAGTCCGATATTTGCATGCTGTCAGTTGTGATATACGTCAACTTGGGATATAAGACACCATCATATTTTCAGCCCCAAAAGTAATGCTTTTGCATATACTCTGTATAAATCAATTCTTTCAGCTGCAGCATGCTGTAAGCACATTTGTGGTCACCCTCAACTTTTCAGCCACAAATGTGGGGATTACTCTCACGTACCTTACTGGGTGCAAGTGATTAAGCAGTGAAACTGATTGTGTTGCAAAGATGTGCAGGAGTTTAAGTCAAGCTGAAATAGAGCAAACCCCTTGGGGCAAATAACAAAGATGGCAGTTGAATACAACAATGCTGCTTGCTCTCTTTTATCTTGTGTGCATAAGTCAACCCCTGTATTTGGGCTTCACTGGTTGATTTATATGCTGACATTTGCAGGATTCAGTGACCTGCAGCAGCATTTTGGAAATTGTCTCAATGTTTCATTGAAATATATAACTTTACAAAGTTAATGCATTAACATTTGACAAGTAACTGGAAGTTTCTTTTCTCCCCCACAGTTTACGATGTCTGAATGCTTCAGCAAATAAATTAGAGATACTTCCGCCCTCCTGTGTGTCTGAAGAAAGCAACAGTGTATTACAGGAGCTGTACCTAACCAATAATTATCTCACAGATAAATGTGTACCCTTGCTTACTGGTCACACTTGTCTTAAGGTCCTACATCTTGCTTACAACCGACTCCAGAGCTTTCCAGCCAGGTGAGGTTGTCCAGTCATTCCCCACATCAAACAATACAATTACTGAAAACCCCGCTGTGCAATTCTATCATTTGAGAATTGTGTTAGTGAAAACTAAGTTGTTTGATGGTAATATGTAAAGTTCTGTTAAAATGTTGTTACACTCAGTGGCTATTTATAGACTACAATGATTCTCGCGAATGTAGTAGCAGACTTAAGTGAATAAGGGGGTAATTTGATGATATAGCAAAGTTTAGGAAGGATAGAAAGCAGTTAGGAAGAGAAATAATTTCCAAGATGGGCCAGAGAAGAGGGACCTTTGCTACAGGAGTAGCTTGGAGAAGTTGAGCTCTGCTTCTTAGAGCAGAAAAGGTTTAGTGGAGATGCAATTGATACTCTAAAAATCATGCAGATCTTGAAGAGTAGATGGGGGGAATATGTTCCCATTGACAAGATTGAGAACCAGAGGACATCAGTCTATAATAAAAACATCAGTGAATAACAAACTATTCAAAGGTGATGTGAGGGGATTTTTTTCTGATTTTTGTTCATGTAATTTTTGTTCATGTAATGTGAGCATTGCTGGCTAGGCCAGCATTTCTTGTCCTTCCCTAATTGCTCTTGAGAGTGTCGTGGTGAGCACATCCTTGAACGACTACAGTCCATGGGCCTTGGGAAAACCCATAGTTTTGGTAGGGAGGAAGTTCCTGGATTTTTATCCAGTGATTGAAGAAATGATTGTATAGTTCCAGGCCAGGATTATGTGTAACTTGGAGGGATCCTTGCATGTGTTGGTGTTGCCCTTCTAGGCCCTAGAAGTCATAGATTTGAAAGATGCTAGAAGAAGAGCCTTGGTGAATTACTGCAGTTCATCTTCAGAAGGTTAACACCGTGCTGGTACTGTGCCTCGGTGGTGAATGGAGTACCAAACAAGTGGCCTGCTTTGTCTGGATGGTATGGAGTTTCTTGAGTTTTATTAGAGTTGTGTACATTCAGGCAAGTGGGCAGTCAAGTATTGAGTTACCCTCCACGGAATTTCCACCCTCTTGTAGCTGCATTATTTATATTGTTCATATTTGTTTATTGTTGTTTATATTGTTTGTGACCCAAGATGTTGATGGTGGGGATTCTATAATAGTAATATCATTAAATGTCAAGGCGATATGACTAGATTCTTTCTTGTCAGAGATGGTCATTGCATGGCACTTGTGTGGCACAAATGTTAATTGTCACTAATCAGCCCATGCCTGAATGTTGTCCAGCTCCTGTTGTATATGGGTGTGGGCTGCTTCAGTATTTGAAAATTTGTGTATGATGCCAAACATTGTGCAGTGAATTTGCTTACGACCTGGAATGAGAGGGAGGTGGAGGCAGGATCAATCATGGCTTTCAAAAGCAAATTGAACAATTATTTGAAAACAAATAATTGCAAGGCTATGGGGCAAGAACCAGACAGTTGAACTGGCTAAGTTGCTCTTGCAGAGAACCAGCCTAGACACAATAGGCTTCTTCAGTGCTGTAATATTTCTGTGATTCTTTTGGAAACAAATCACACTGAGTGATTCCACGCCCACCTTGGAGCGTCTGCAGGCCCACGGCTAAAGAAGAACGGTAATGTTGGACTTATAACTTATTTCTTTATCTTTCTACTTTGTCCGTAAGATTTTTTATCTAGGATGGTACTTAAGATGGCGATTTTGTCCATTTTTCACTGTACTCCTGTATCCCTGCACTTGAGTATATGTGGCAATAAAATCTAATAATAAAATCTAATTCTACAAATAATGAATGGCTGGATGGTAAGTGTTCTGTTGCTGAAAATATCATTTACTCTGCTTATGTTTGTTCACCTCTTACCAGATGAGTAAACAGTACCTCAATATACACGTAAATCAGATTAGTGTTTTAGAGACGAGCTCATGTTTAATAGAGGCTCAGTTGGTAATTCTCACACTTCTGAGTAATAAAGTTCCAGGTTCAAATCCCATTCCAGGATGTGAGCAAAAAACTGGAGCCTGATGTCTTGGCCAATATTTACCCTCCAATTGATTCTCAAAAAGATTCAATGGCTAGTCATAACCACACTGCTGTTTGTGGGAGTTTGCTGTGCATAAATTCCCTGCAATGTTTCCTGCATTATGACAATAACTACACTTCAGTTTTTTTGTTGTAAAGTGCACTGTGACTAGTGATCTTGAAAAGTGCTACATAACTACAATTCTTTCTATCTGCATGTTAAATTTCTTTAACCCACATTGCCAATGAAAATGTATTTTTACCATTGGCTACATGCTGCAGACTTTCTCACTGAAGTTACTTGTGAGAACACAGCAAGTTGTCTAGACGTGGCTATGGAGTAGGTAGTAAGGGAATACGAATCTAACCACTTCTCCGCCTTTGGAGATTAAAAGCTCTTGTAATTGTTTTGCTCCATGTAGCTTTCCCAAGAAAGTTTTATTCTCCCAGGTCATAAACCTTTGCTATTTGATCACTGATATAGAAGCAGTGTTTCTGATATTGCATCTCTTTCAGATCCAGGAGTACATTGCTACTTGTAAAAATCATGCTTACTTTTCCGCTGATGAGAGATTAATACATTAATATATATTGCCTCTTCACAGTAAAATGGCAAAACTCGAAGAACTGGAAGAAATTGATCTAAGTGGGAACAAACTGAAAACCATTCCAACTACCATTACGAATTGCAAGCGGATGCACACTGTCATTGCACATTCTAACTGTATTGAAGTCTTCCCTGAAGTGATGCAACTCTCTGAGATTAAGGCAAGAAAAACATCCAATTCTTAATATCTATGAAGCTTAAAAAAAGTGACAATAAAAATGCTGATTTAATACAGAAATTGCTAGAAAAACTTGGCAGATCTGGCAGCATCTGTGGAGAGAAAGCAGAGTCAACATTTTGGCTCCAGTGACCCTTCTTCAGATCCTTCTTGAGTTCTGAAGAAGGGTCACAGGACCCAAAGCGTTAACTCTGTTTTCTGTGCACAGATGCTGCCAGACCTGGACTTTTTCAGCAATTTCTATTTTTATTTCTGATTTCCAGCATCCATAGTTCTTTTTATTTTGCTAATTTAATAACTGGTATCTGAAAAGCTATCATTCAAAATCACTATATATACAATATATTCCTTTTATTTAGTACGAATTATGTGATGTTGACTCTGGTCCGTGCTAGTATGACATGGTTGGAAGATAAAAGATAAGAAATGTTAAGCCTAAACTATTTTCATTGACTCAAACTAATCTTACCTTCCTCCTCGTGATATCCTTCAATCCCTTACCAATGCTACCAATTGTATATTGTTCCTGTTTATTATGGCCTTCACTGGTAGTTTACTCTATTATCCCTGAATATAAATGTTCTGTTTCCTTTCACAATTCCAATTAAGAGGTAACTGACTGTATTAGAACCCATTAGTGTAGCAGGTTTCCTGAACCTAAATTTCTCTTCTTTCCCAGAAACCATAGCCACATTCAAGCTCTGGTTCTCTGTTATGTTCACCAGTTTCTTTTGTTGTTTCAGTTTAGGGAAACAAAAGAAACATGAATAATTCTTAGCCGCAAGTGTATTGAAAGTAACAACATCTATATTGAGAATATGATTTGGGCAGTTCAGTTCATGCTGTCAACGCAGATTTGAAATATTGAGCCTGGATTATATTATGAGTTCTGAACATAACGAACTGACTAATGTCATGTGGAATGGTCTAAAATTACTCCGTAACCTCCGTTACCGTCAGTGATTGTGAGATTGAACTAAAAAGTTTGATTAAATGAGTATTTTGAATGTGCTGCAATCTGAAATGTAACAAATGTGAATGGAATTGGTTATTCTTAATTTAAAAGAAGCCTTCACTGTTTAGATCTCTGTAATCTCAGCATCTAGAATAGAAGCTTTACTTGATGCTGAAGTACGTCAGTTCACAGAATTAGAAACAGTAATTTGCCTGGATCAAATAAAACAAACCATATTTTAGGAGAACATTATTCTTTAGTAGCTGCCAGGACGACCATTAATAAGTTCATATTCCATTTAAATTAGATATCTTCTTTAGACAAAACAAATTCATTGCTTGGGTGAATTAAATCAAAGCTGAAGTTAATGATGCATTTCTCTATGGGAGATTTTTTAAAAGAAAATTTTCAGTGATTTATTTCTTTATTGTAACTTTACAAATCTTCTTGCCTAATTTCACAAATGGAATAATATTTATAATTTCCATTCTTTTAATTCTTGGGATCAGGATTTTGATGCTTTGACAGTGGTAGATATTTTCTATATGAGTGTATACAAGTAAGATGATCCCCAGGAACTAGGTCAAAACCAGTTACTTCCACTCAAGGAATTGGTATGTACAGTTGAGAGCTTTAACTCAGAAATATGCTGTACATTTTTTTTTGTGATAAATGCTTTCTGGGAGTCTGTTGAACCAGAATTAAATTTGTTAACTCATCCGTACAATCAGAGGCAAAAGAGGGAAAGAAAGCTTAGGTGCCATCAGTTTGTGCAAGAGTACATTTCATAATTCTCCTGGCTTTTTGCCTGAGGCCATAGTTAACAGAATCTTGCATAACACAGTAAGTATGGGAAACAGGAGGTTGATGAACTGGAATCCAGCCAAATCTATTGCCTGTGTACTTCTTTCTGTAGTGTGTTGACCTGAGCTGTAATGAGTTGACTGAGATCACGTTGCCTGAAAATCTGCCACTGAAACTGCAAGAACTAGACCTGACTGGAAACCCCAGGCTGGTCCTGGATCACAAAACTTTGGAGCTGCTGAAGTAGGCAATCATTATATCCATTTAATATTGTGTCAGCAATTAATCTTGTTATCCTGTGCAGTTTTCTGTGGCCTGTGGTGAACACAGTCTTTGAACTTTAGATTTTACTGAGGGTTTAAATCACTTAATCTCACTCAAGCATGAGAAAAGAATGCATTTTTCCAGGACACAGCTCAATAGAGGGGGAGGCGATGGCCTAGTGGTATTATTGCTGAACTATTAATCCGGAGACCCAGATTACATTCTGGGGACCCAGGTTCAAATCCCGCCATGGCAGATGGTGAAATTTGAATTCAATGAATAACTGGAATTAAGAGTCTAATGATGACCATGAATCCATTGCTGATTGTCGGGAAAAATCCATCTGGTTCAGTAATGTCCTTTAGAGAAGGAAACTGCCATCCTTACCTGGTCTGGCCTACATGTGACTCCAGTCCCACAGCAATGTGGTTGACTCTTAACTACCTTCTGGACAATTCGGGAT